CAGTTCAAGCTATGCTGTCACATACACTGAGCCAGCTTATAGACCCCTCATATTTCACTCGAACACGTTCCCCTCGCTAGAGTCTATACTTCCCGTGGAAGTCGTAGAGGAGCCCCCAACGGTCCGCATTCGCAAGCGCCCGGCTATAGCGAGAAACATCACGAGGGCTTTCAAAGCCAAGCTCCTGTCACTAGGCGTCGACATACAAACGTTTAGCTATCCACCATTGTCGCCTCTGGAGTTCAGAGGATGCAACGCGCCCTCATCCGCGATAGGTCGCATGCCTGCAGAATTATTGGCTGAAGTATTCCATCTCGCGACGTTCACTCGCTCGTACAGCGATCGAAAAACACGGCAAGATTCGCCTCTACCGACTCTTTTCACCATCGCAAGAGTATGCGTACACTGGGCCAAGACCATCATCCGGTGTTCGTCTTTGTGGGATGTCGCGGCATCTTTCGCGCGCTCTGAGAAAGCTCGACGGCGACTTCTTCTTCGGTCCACGAGCAACAACCTCCACTTCAGTTCGTTTGGCACAGCGCTGACGGAGGCCGTTATTCGAGGAGTACCATTCATTCGCTCTTTGGAGGCGTTTTCGAATTATCCCTTTTGGACTAGGCTACTCGATCCGGCGAATCATTTCGACAACCTTGAGTTCCTATGGCTCCAACGCTTTGGCCCTAACACACGTCGACCCCGTCCTGTGTTGAATGCTCCCAGGCTGAGCACATTGAGGACGGATGTACTGGTGGACCTACGCGGGTCAGCCCTACGTACACTCATATTCGGGGTGCGAACCCTGACGACGTCAGAGTGTCTCGTAGGCTTGCGCGACCTCCTTGCGCAATCCCCTGGCCTGCAAATACTGCACATAGAGCGCCAGACGGACGGCGCATACTCCGATTCAGATTGGGCGAACATCTTGCTCCCCTTATCAGGAGGACTGCTGCAGGAGCTCTACGTTCTGGATCTCAGAACTCGAGGGGAGTTCGTCGACACGCCCGCCATCTTGTTGCCGCACCTTCGCAAGTTGGTTTCCAGGTTGGCGTTGAACCTCCGGGCGCCGCTCATCGAAGACGCATCCATATCCGATATCTTCAACCCCGAGTTCAGAAACATCCTATGTGGCATTTCGCATGCGTTCTCGCTCACCGTTCTGGAGCGATCACACGAATCTCATGCGACATACTCAATCGACTTCGACCACGTGCAGCGCGTACACTTCCACCGCTTGAGCACGTTCACTTATCTGGGTGATATGGACACGAGACTGCTTGCTATGATGCGCATCATCCAAGCACCATGGCATACGGTGAACTTGACAACAAGCGTCGCGACATCTCTTTGCCCTCCTGTCTACCACAACTGCCACGAAGTCAACGAGCGCGGCGATCGTCTACGTGAAAATATACACCGGCTGTTCTCGCTTCGCACGTTCTTGGAGTCAGCTACAAACACCCGGGAGACCGTGCTCTGCATAGAGTTATTTGCGGATGTGAAGTCTATACATCATCGCATCCGGTTCAAGCTTCTGTGCGCTGACGCCGTCAACAACACAAAAACCGCGTCTTCACTCGATATACCACCCGCTTGTGTCAACATAGACGCTCATCTGCGGGCGAGATCATGCAGGGACACACACCGGGGCGGATTCAAAGTTACAGCGTCATACGTTCTCACAGCCGTCGCCCTGAAGTCCGTGAGTTCAATCCGGATGGATATCCATCCTGCTTCGGGATGCGAGAGACACCAATTGGATATGCCGCTGCGGTATGATCAAACCTGGACTCTTCCAGACCCCGTGAACCTACCAGAGCTAGAGGACGCCAACCTGCTACGCGACAACCTCCTTAACATGCCTATCGTCCAACATCTTCGCATGACACTCCTTCGATGGCACGAGGATCACAGATACACAATGCTACATGTGCTAGCAAGTGATGTCCAACGAGCATTGCTCCCGCTTTTGACAACCTTACGGATAGATGGGATGCGTGGAGCGAAATCTTTACGCATCGGTGTGGGGAGTTGGTGGGAAGATCTCATGCAGATCGCTGCACTGCGCCCCGACGTGACGATCGTATTTTCGGGCAACGTCTGCATGTGCAAGAACACAGATCGGATAAGGGCGAAATTGCGAGCGTTGCAGAAGTTGGTCCGAATAGTGGAGATGGGGACTGATGACTGTGACAGCTGTGATTGAGTTGCTGATTGCAAATGGTGGTCATCGGTACTATCCAGTATACCTCCGCCAGTGCGCTCGATCATCAACACCCGCGATCCGACCGACGTGTAATACTTCCCTGCACAATACAAGGTTCATGCATTGCCCACTTTTTGTCTAGCTACAGCGACGACTACCCAAATACTATAGGAAAAGGTAGACTTATAAGCTGGCGGAAGGCCTCTGCGTGTGAACTGGCGAGTGATCCCTTGTTTCTAGTAATGACAAATCTAGTCAGCCTAGGCATATCAGCAGATTGTCCACTGGATATACGCTGACACAGTAGGCGGAAGATGACATCGACCAGCTTCACATTAAGATCGGTGGGAAACAGGGCCAGTCGAGTCAGAGATGGAAGGACCATCTGCTCTCCTTCCACACGAAGCATGGCTGACAGAATGAGTTGCGCATGCTCAGACGATCCTATGATGTATAGATCGACAGCATTGGTAAGACCAAACAAACTCCTGCGCCATTGCTGGATAGATCCCGCAACACTTCTATCCCTTCGATCGAGCAGAACATGCGTTACGTGCCGCATGCTGCTGGCGTCATGGATCATACGCATCGCCACTTGCTGAGCGCTCCATGGGCTAACGTTCTGGCTTGGATGGAATTCAGCCATAGTCTCCCTACGAAATGGCTCCTGGGAATCTTGTGGTATATGGAACTTCCGCAGCTTGAATGTACCGTCGAGGACCACGTTGTTGCAGCGTCCACGGCGGGCAACGCTGGTCAGAACTCCCAGTATGGCTTCGATATCGGGTGGCCCTCCCTTGGGCTGGACTTTGAACGTACGCTCCGCCATCGGGCCAGCCGTGTGGCGATACACAACAAGCTCTGCGCGCTCCAATGAAGGCATGTCAAAAATATGACAGAAATCAATCATGTCCTCGAATTCCAGGTGCAATTCAATGTTCTTAAGGCTGGGAGTACGCAGCGAGTGCTTCTGCAGAGGACCTCCCTGGCCTTCAACAGATAACGGTGTATAGCGTATTTCAAGATTTGTAAGCTCGCGCATGTGGCCAAGAGCGATGAAGAAAGACGTCGTGTCGAGTTCAGAAACGGATAAGAGGCTGAGCGTTTGGAGGTGACGAGCCCATCCCATTAGATTGGGTGGACGACAGGCTTGTCGTAAACGCAAACGTTGTATATTTCCGGTGCGTACATCGCAATTGTCATAATCCATCAGGAGACACAAGTCAAGTTCCCTCAAGTTCGGAGCGTTGTTCCTTTCCGCCACGAGTCTCATCACCGAGTCGCGCAGGTGCGCACGATGGAGGTCAGAGTCGCCAATAGGGTGTTCTCCAACTAGAAGTGGATAATGCAGCAGGAAGCACGTCGTGCGACGGAGTCTATCATGTTCCATCATCTGCTGCATGATAGTGATGGCCTCCGTTGTACCCGAACAGTACTCGGGGATCGCAATTGTAACAGGTCGTCGACCAGGCCGTGCCCAAAGATCCGAGTCCCTCAGAAGCGCCACTTGATAGGCTACGATGGTATCCCATAGAGACGCCTGGTGCACAATGATGCGATGCCAATGCTTGTTGACACACATTTCCTGTATCAAGTGCGGGTGTCGTCGTTCGCCGTTGCTGAACTCTGCATGGTATATGGTAGAGATACAGTCGAATATATCCATCATGATCTCGCTTGAGAGATCGCCCATGATGGGACGAGACTGCGTAGACCTTGACGAAAGTTCGTTACTGACTAGGGATGGCATCGATGAGAGGGTCTGCTAAGCATGCATACTGCGCCTTCCACGCTTTTCAACGAAGCCCTTGCGATCGGCCACGTGCATAGAACATCCAAGCCGCGCGCGCCCCAAAACAACACATAGTTTTGGCCGTGACTCTCATGCTGAGTTGCCTCGTTTGCCAGAGAATCTTTCTCGTGGAGCATGACGAAAGAACCTCTTCACGAGGGAATTAGTATTGAACAGACGTTGGAGCTTCTCCGAATGCTCAAGAAGCAGCAGAAGACGATCGTTCACTTCGCACTCAAGAGAGCTCGACTCAATGCACCTACACCGGGCTCTTCTACACGCCGTCATCGTGTTTAGACTAGCTATTCTTCGCGCGCACGTCGAGGTCACCCAATTCCCCAGGAGGAAAGATCTTGACGTAGCTTCTTGGGCGGAAGGTTAACATGATCGGATCACGGATCACAAGAACGCGGCGCGCCTGAGAAGACCGGATCAAACTCATACCTTCCATGTTCTGTAGCGTTTCCCTGGTTTCCTCCTGCAGCGACGACCGCTTTCACCGTAGCCCAGATGTACACTTCATTCTTGTCTAGTCTTGCGAGCGTGATTGCTTCATGACCTTCGTGTGGTCGGCTGATGGTCGTCTACTTGCTGCACCTTCTTCGGCGGCGTACGAGCTTCCCACCGCGGTGGGTCATGATAGTCTCCCCGATCCGTTCAATCCAACCTGTGCGGCTCCATACTGCAGCGCATACTGGGATACCTCATGCACACTGAATGCAGACCTGCGTGATCTTGCGTGGTGCATTCCGTATGCCGTTCTAGTCGCAGACGCCGCTAGGCACCTCACAAACCGCACTCGACGAATATTGCTTCACTAATGGCCCATTGTACAGGGAGTTCCGCTCGCGCTGACAACTGCACAACACTGACATTTGCTTCAACTTGGCTGCGCTACCATGGCTCGCTATACGAGGAGTTTTTGAACGCAAGCGGCAACGTTGAGGCGAATGTTCACGACTGACGGCATCCCAAGAGGTATCCGCACGCTTGAAATCGTCACCGCGCAACGAACGATCCTCGCCCTCTCTTACTGTCGCCGTACCCACGTAAGTTGTGCTCCCCTGTCGGACAGCCAGGGCTAGATCTACACTGATACCACATCACTCATAGCAAATATGTCCAGTTCCTTGGAGGATCTCGCAGTGCCAACGTAGATCACCCTGAATAGAGTCTTCGCACTCGATGAACGACGTCAAGGCGAAGATTCAAGACAAGGAGGCTGGTGCCTGAGGCATACGCGCACG